AGTGGGGCTGGCTGGGGAGCTCCCTGCAGAATGGACAGCCCATTTTCTTCCCTGCTCTGCTTCGCCTGTGCAGATTCACAGATGCTCCTTCCCCTGCCCCTCAGCTAAGCTCTTCCAGATGGTGCCAGGCTGCAGTAATCTGCTCGCTGGCCAGGGGCCTTCTGCATCCCGGCCGCATCCCTCCCCGGTGGGTCCGCTCCCCACACAGCATAGGGGGCAGGAGCGGGGGGGTGGAGGGACCCCCAGGCCGGCTGCACCCAGCGCTGTGACTCGGCTGTCAGCGAAAGCATGGAACGATCTCCAGGGAGCCCCATCTCTGCCCCCCAGTCTGGCAGTGGGGAGCAGGCTGGGGAGCTGGGCTGTGTCTGTCCCCCGGCCTGGAGCTGGGAAGGACAATACTGTGGTGCAGGGAGGGGGAAGGGGGTTGCCCTTCAGCCCCTGCCCGGTGAGTGGTTCATGCAGAGCCTGTGTTGCTAGGGCTGGTGTCCGAAGCCCAGGGCATCCCCCTCCTCCCCCCACAACTGAGTCCCTTCCGTGTCGCCAGAGGATCCACTTCTGATGTTTGTGCTGCCCGAGTGCACGACCTCTCCGACCTGGGCTGGCTCCTGTAAATCCCGACCTGGAGCTGCTCACCTGCCCGACCTGGAGTGGGGAAGAACAGAATCTTGTTTCCTCCCCCCTGTTTCTCTGGTGCTGGGTTCCTGGCATCTCTAGTCCAGAACCCGCTGGCCAGGCTGCCCTGGAGCGCACAGGGCTGGGATCCGCCCCCAGGTGCCATGCGGGAGGGAGCAGAGTCCTGGCTCCTTTTGGCTGCACTTCCTGGTGTCCCAGGCACTCTTGCCTGTGTGGATGCAAGGGAGAGGCAGCCCCCGGGCACGCCTGCCGGCTGGGGAAGCTGCTCCCATTACATTAAAATGGAATTTATAAACTGCTCGTTAAGTGCAGCTTTGTCTCTCAGATGTTTGACCCTGCTGCACCCTCCCCTCCCTTCCCGGAGCTAACACCCCTGGTATTGCAAAGCTGAACTGGAGGGGACCAGCTGCTGCCCCCTGGGGCAGGCCTCTTAAGTACTCCAGGCCTCAGTCTAGAGATTTAAATCAGGACTTGGGAACATTTTTTGGGTGGGGGGGGGGGACTGACTCACCAAAAAATCAGGCAGGGGCAACCCCCAAGTGGGAAAAAAATCATTCACCTCACTACCCTCAAGCTCCACCCCAGAGCCTAGAGGGGCTGGGGGAAGTAGATTTTGTGGGGCCCCTCTAGGCTCTGGGGCGAGGCCAAAAATTAGGGGTTCAGCACGTGGGAGTGGGCTGCTGGGGACTGGGGTGGAGATGGGTCTGGGCAGGAGGTAGGATGCAGGAGCGAGCTGGGGCTGGGCGGGGGGAGGAGGGAGAGTCCCAGGATAGATGAAGGCAAGCCATAGGCTGGCCATAGATTCTCCTGATTTAAATGATCCAAGCCCCAGTGGCTGTCCACTCTCCGTTTCTAGCCTCACCTGCATGAGACTAGCCAGGCGCAGTGTGACGACGGGGAAGAGGAGGAGTGGGGAGTCCGGTGAGGTTGGGACACGGGTGGCCCCACACTGGGCCTGTGGCTGTCCTGTTGGAAGGCCCAGCATGTCTGCTTGTATGTGGCTCTGGAGAGGCCAGAAGTGTAACGAGAGCTGCAGAGCCAGCAGGGGGCACCCAGGCGATTTTGGTGAGCCCCACAAAAATGGAGGTTGCTACTTTTGCTGCAGAGAGGGCCTGGTGTGGCAGGGGGGCTGGATTAGCTATGATGGAAGATGTTGCCAGGCCGGACTCCTCCGTGCTCCCCAGCTTACCCAGGGGTAGAGGGCGATAGTCCTCGTCTAACCAACCTGGGAGCCTCTGGGACGGAACAGTGGGAAGGTCTCAGCCTTCCCTCCCTTGCTGGCCTTGATGCAATGTGTGATCACGGCTTGAGCTCCTACTTCAGAGCCCCTTTGCCTCCAGGATCTGCCCCTCCATGCACTGCCAGCGGGAGAGGGCTTTAGCTGGATCTTGCTGCTAAAATGACTGGCACTGAAATAGTTAACACTGACTTTTGAACAGTTTTCTGTAGGTTTCAGAGTTAACAGGAGACTGAGCTGGCTGGGGCGGCTGGCTCCTGTCTGAGACTCTGGTTTTCAGGCTGTCTGCAGACAGCCTGGCAGGCCGGCCCATGTAGGGTTCCACCTGGGGGAACTGACTTTTCTTCCACAATGGCTACAGACTCGTTTTTAATCCTCAGGGCTCTGCTCGGGGCCAGGACCCATCCCGGCAGGTGATGGCCCTGTCTGCCTTGCCGAACGCTCACTCGGGCACCCTCCTCTTGGCAGGCTGCGGCAACAGCGCCCTGAGCCACGACCTCTTCCAGCTCGGCTACACGGACGTCACCAGCATCGACTACTCTCCGGTGTGCATCGCGGCCATGCGAGCCTGCTACGCTCAGTGCCGGGGCCTTCAGTGGGCAGTGATGGACGCGCGGGACTTGGCCTTTGCAGACAGTAGCTTCGACGTGGTTCTGGAGAAGGGCACGCTGGACTCCATGATGGTGGGGGAGACGGACCCCTGGAACGTGGCGCCCGAGACCACGGCACTGCTGGACCAGGTGCTAAAGGAGGTGAGCGGGCAGGCCTACGAGGTCATTAGAGACTCTGATTCCCCCTGCTGCAGGCTGGGGCCAGACTTGGGCCTAGCTGGGATGTGGGCTTGTACCCTGTGGGGCTGAGACCGGCTTGGGCAAGTGTCTGGCGGGAATGGCTGCCCTGAACCGGCCTCTGTTGGAACAGGTATCTGGGGCCCTCACACAGAAAAGGTGTTTCTGCCTGGCTTGCTGGGGAAGGCCCGGCTCTCAAGGGGCCTGTGTGTTAAAGCCCAGCAGGTGAGGAGGTGCCACGTAGATGTGGGGCAGACCTGGGGCAAAACATCCCAGCTCCCCCCCCC